GGTGTGGGCGTGGGTGTCGGCGTTGGGGTGGGTGTGGGCGGGGTTGGCCAGTGCAGTCCGCTCGGACTGCCGCCCCAGAGCCAGCCACTGCAGCCGACAATCAGCTCCTTGGCCTCGCTGAGCGGCCACTATGCGGCCAGTAATCCGCACGTGAACGGGAACCCCAATCCGAATCCGAGCAGCTGCAGCCTGGCGGCCGCCTCCAGCTTCGCCCAGTCGGCCAGCAGCAGCTTCTCCACATATCAGCAGGCCAGCGGCGGGGCTGGAGTCGAGGATGGAGTCACCGGAGGATCTGTGATGTCGCACTGGACGCACGACGGCAGTGGATCGGGAGCCGCTGTCAAGTCGGAGTCCCGCAGTCCCGGCCAAGTGCATGCGGCGCTGGACAACGGCGTGGTGACGTCAGTCAGCAGCGGACCGAATCTCTACGGATGCACTGCCTCCAATCCGCTGGACAGCAGCACGGCGGCGGCTGTCAACTCGTCGGCAGTGGCCGCCGCGGCTGCGGCCGTGTACGACGGAAAGCACGACTACTACTACTACAACAGCATGCAGCAGTATACGCCGCCGCCTTTCTATTCTGGATATGGAGCCCCCTATGCGGCTGCCACGGCTGCCCGCCAGGCCAAGATGGAGCCGGGAGCAGCTGCTGCGGCGGCTGCCTATCTCACTCCCACCTACGCCAGCGGGGGCAACAACAACTCGCAGCTGTACAGCAACCCGTACGCGGGCTACAACAACTTCGCGCAGCAGGACTACGGCGGATACTACAACGAGCAGTACGGGAACTACTACAATCCGGCCAACTACTCGCCGTACGCCGTCAGCTCCCCGAGCTCGAGTGCCAGCCACGGGCACGGCTTCCATGTGGCCGCCTCATCCAACCTCTCTGAAAGTCCCACGGACACGCACTCGACGACTCCCGTGCACCACGCCACCCACTCGCCGCACTCCCCGCTGCCGATCTCACCCAACGCCGCCTCGGGCCTGGCCAGCGGCGGTACGGCCACCTCTGCTGCGGCTGTTGCAGCTGCCGCGGCCGCTCTCAATTCCAGCGGGGGAAGCAGCGTTGGCACGGCGGGCTCCTCCAATGCATCGGCCACCAAGACCACGCCCACCGGCAAGACGGGACGCGCCCGCGGCAGACGCCACCAGCAGCCGAGCCCCACAAGAAGCACAGCCTCGGATACGGGAAACAGTGAGGCGGTGAAGCCGCCAGAGCGGGTGTTCGTCTGGGACCTGGACGAGACCCTGATCATCTTCCACACACTGCTCTCGGGCAGCTACGCGAATCGCTATACCAAAGACCACAGCACCCTGATGACCATCGCCTTCCGCATGGAGGAAATGGTCTTCAACATGGCCGATACGCACTTCTTCTTCAACGAGATCGAGGAGTGCGATCAGGTGCAGATCGACGACGTCAGCTCCGACGACAACGGCCAGGACCTGAGCGCCTACAACTTTGCCACCGACGGCTTCCACACGGGCACTCCGCCCGGCGCACCTCCCAATCTCTGCCTACCCACGGGAGTGCGCGGCGGCGTGGACTGGATGCGCAAGCTGGCGTTTCGCTATCGCAAGATCAAGGATATCTACAATAGCTACAGGGGAAAGTAAGTAATCGATTTGAGTCCAATAGTATCCACATTTCACAGGGAATTTTCACTTACGCAAAATCTTTTCCCTTCTATTGCAGTGTCGGAACGCTGTTGGGACCCGGTAAGCGTGAGGCCTGGCTGCAGATACGCTCAGAGATCGAGGTGGCCACCGACAACTGGGCCACGTTGGCGCTCAAGTGCCTCAGCATGATTTCCCAACGCGAGAACTGCGTCAACGTGCTGGTAACCTCCACACAGCTGGCCCCGGCGCTGGCCAAGGTGCTGCTCTTCGGTCTGGGCAGCATCTTCAACATCGAGAACATCTACAGTGCGCACAAAATCGGTGAGTGAACAGCGAGAGAGGGATTCATTCCAAGTGGAATCGAGTACTAGCCAGTCTTCTTTTTTTTTTTTTGCTGTAGGCCAGGAAACCTGCTACGAGCGTATCGTGACACGCTTCGGGCGCAAAAGCACCTACGTGGTGATTGGCGATGGCGCCGAAGAGGAGTCCGCCGCCAAGGCCATGAACTTCCCCTTCTGGCGCATCTCCGCCCACAGCGACATACGCGCCCTATACACTGCCCTCGACATGGGCTTCTTATGAAAGGCCAAACTATGAATCGGAGCGGAAATGGAAATGGAAACAGAATCGATATTGTCTGTCATTTGTATCTATGCACCGGCAGCCGCAGGGTCGAAGCAGTTTTGAGTACAAACAGAAAAATGTTTAACTAATTTATTGAATGTGTGTGCATGTGTGTGAGATAAGAAAACCAGCGCAAAATAATTTAATTATTTTGTTTAAACAATTTATATTTTAACGCCAAGACTTTATTGTATTATATAGTTTTAAAAAACAACTAATCAACGATCGCAGCAGTTCTGTTCTCGTCGGCAAGCAGCCGCACTAAATTGTTTCAATTGTATAATTAATGAATTAACGATATACGTATCTAGCACCTTAGAGTAGCAATCAATACCAGACCGAAGCGGATCGGATCGGATCGGATAGAGGAAGTAAGTAGCAGTAGCCTCGCAGATCGATCGGAGCAAACACAACAAAAATTAGTTTAAAGTCCTTAGTTTAAAGCAAACGCCTTCAGAGGCGGAGTAAACATAATTATAAATAATTCGACAAAACTGTAGTATTCAAATTTTAAATAACTATTATATAGCTGCATATATTAAACTATATTTAAAATATAAAAAACATTAATAAAAGAGCAAAACCAACCCCAAAGGAGCATCAATATCAACGGAACAACAAGCGTCCTGTTCTTGCGTTTTCGCCGATCTGATCCTATATGCCACCAACAGAATGGCGATGTCAAAAAGGGTATTAAAAGCAAAAAAAAAGAAAACAAGCAGGGGTGCACAGTAATCACACAAAATCCACACATTTGAACTTCGCGCCTACTGAGAAAAGACTAAAATTCAATATTTCTAGGTATGACACACAAATATCGAATGTCACTCTGACAAAAGTTCGCTATCATGAAACTGTGCATGGCATCTACGTGGCGCCCTCATAGTGTCAGCGGCAGTTCGGTGTACTAAAAATATATTTCAAAAGTACTTTCAGGATATGAAAACGAAAAAAACTTAACGTTTTTGTATATATAAATACAAATTATAAATATCCTTTCACTAACAATCAAACTTTACCTTATTTATAGAATGGTATTGGTCCTGCCAGTACCAAAAAGGTGTATAGAAGTGGCAGTTCATACACTGAACATGTCGCAAGCTAACTTTCTGGATTCGATTTTCCCCCGCCTATCACAGCAGAAGCGCACCACTTACAAGATCGGAACCTAACAAGCCATCGTCACCTGTCCACCTAGCCATCGACAACAAGGACTTTGACTATGGCAACCAAGGAAGGGGCTGCACGGTCTACTAGATTCTAGATAGATATCGTTGTTGTTAGGTTTAAGGATATAAGCACCCGTATATTTATATAGTAGATATAAATGTTTTCAACTTGTTTATTTCTTTATTTAAGTTAAGTTATGATGAATAAAACTATTGAAAAATAATCCTTGCTGTATCAGGGAAACTATTCAGAGTATTCACAAGGTACGGAGAAAACGAAACATTTTTGATTGGGGAAAATGTCCTTGATCCTTGATAAGGACTTCATTAAATCCGGGACATTTTTCCAATCAAAGGAAGCCGTCGCTCGTCCCGATCGGGCCGCAAATAGCCGAGAAAATTAATATTTTCGATCCTTGATATCCTTGGTCCTTGAAAAGGACTTCATAAAATCAGGGACATTTTGCCGATCACAGGAAGCCATCGCACGCCCAGATCGGGCCATGAATAGCGGAGAAAATTAATATTTTTGATCCTTGATATCCTTGATCCTTGAAAAGGACTTCATAAAATCAGGGACATTTTTCCGATTACAGGAAGCCGTCGCATGCCCAAATCGGCCCATAAAGAGCGGAGAAAATGAATATTTGTGATCTTGGATGTCCTTGGTCCTTGAAAAGGACTTCGAAAAATCAGGGACATTTTTCCGATTACAGGAAGCCGTCGCACGACCAAATCGGCCCACAAATACCGGAGAAAACGGCCAAAATCTGGCTGGGATACCAGGGGAACAGAAATCAGCAGAAAGCAACTGTAGGAAATGCAAAAAAAATCATGTTGCATACTTTTGGGGGACCGCAAATTTTTCAGTTACCTTCTGCTGATTTCTGTTCCCCTGGTATCCCATCCAGATTTTGGCCATTTGACGCGAGGTTTTTTCTCGTTGTACGGTGGCGCCCCTATCGGTGATTTCTTGAACTACATTTTTAAAGACAGTTATCAGCCATTTTTGTTTTCTCCGTTATTTGTTGGCCGATCTGTGCGTGCGACGGCTTCCTGTGATCGGTAAAATGTCCCTGATTTTTCGAAGTCCTTTTCAAGGACCAAGGACATCCAAGATCACAAATATTCATTTTCTCCGCTCTTTATGGGCCGATTTGGGCATGCGACGGCTTCCTGTAATCGGAAAAATGTCCCTGATTTTATGAAGTCCTTTTCAAGGATCAAGGATATCAAGGATCAAAAATATTAATTTTCTCCGCTATTCATGGCCCGATCTGGGCGTGCGATGGCTTCCTGTGATCGGCAAAATGTCCCTGATTTTATGAAGTCCTTTTCAAGGACCAAGGATATCAAGGATCGAAAATATTAATTTTCTCGGCTATTTGCGGCCCGATCGGGACGAGCGACGGCTTCCTTTGATTGGAAAAATGTCCCGGATTTAATGAAGTCCTTATCAAGGATCAAGGACATTTTCCCCAATCAAAAATGTTTCGTTTTCTCCGTACCTTGTGAATACTCTGAATAGTTTCCCTGATACAGCAAGGATTATTTTTCAATAGTTTTATTCATCATAACTTAACTTAAATAAAGAAATAAACAAGTTGAAAACATTTATATCTACTATATAAATATATGGGCGCTTATATCCTTAAAACTACCAACAACGATATATATCTAGAGTCTAGTAGGCGGCGTAGCCCCTTCCTTGGTTGCCATAGTCAAAGTCCTTGTTGTCGATGACCATGTCGAAGAATAAAGATGGATTGTTAGGTTCCGATTGTGCAAGGGGTGCGCTTCTGTCCTGCTGTCGGACACGATCCGGTTTGTGGCAAAACATAGGGTACATTAGTCCTCTGTGAAGGATGATATATTTATTTTAAAATATATCCACAATTATATACTGTTTCACCTACGCGTGTCGAAGATGAAGCCCAGTGTTTGATTCGGCGGCTGCTTGCTCACAATATATCCCGCGGACGTGAACCAACAATTCCGCCGTCGATCAAGGGTCCTTGCTGCAGCGGATGGGACGCCACGTTGTCGACTGGCTATAGCTCATAGCATGTTCGTAGCAGCCAGTGGCTGCCACAGTCCAGCCAAAAGAACATCCCCTTGGACCTTCCGAGAAGACGAGGAGATTCGGCGGAATCACCCGCGGCGGAAGTACCGACGGACACAAAGGTCACCCAGGCCAAAGGCCACAGCTCGCGCGACAGCAATTATGTAGTGGACCCGTACGCAGGAGCCGGCGGGGAGTTTGCGATGTCAGCCGGTCAGGCGCCTGGAGTGGACAGCCGCATCGAGCATATGACGATTGTCCGCGGCCACCTGAAGGTGCGATCTGTTAAAATGAAAGGAAGAGTTAAATAAGGTATATTCATAAATAATAACTTGATAACTTTACCTGGAGGGGTAAGCAGTTTGTGGCTAGAGAGGGTGTCGGCCAATAGAGCTGGAGGGAATACAAAAAGAAGAACCAAGAAAAAACAGTCAATGGAATAGATGAATAGGGTGGGAAACAAAGAAAACGTTGTAAGAAGTGCAGGTAAATAAATAATGTATCATACTTGCTGATCAAATTTGAAATCATTTGGCTGCAAAGAAAGTATGAAAATTAGATCTCACGTGGGCGAAAATTAAGAAATTATCACAGATGACTTGATGGATTTACTTCGATTATTTATATTGTATGTTGGGCCAATCACATTACCATAGGTATTCAAAATATAGATGTCAAAATCTTGTAATATTTTCTACTGCTGTATATTTTCAGTTGCTCCTAACACTCCGACTAGCACGGAACAAAAAATTTAGTTTAGTTTAAAGCTTCGGTTTGGTTTTCGGGTTTCAGTATCGTAACAACTTTGACTTTTCTTCAAAATTCCAAAAATTAAAGTTTTTTTTTTAATATATTCCAGAAATTTTACGGATTGAAAATGTGCTACCCTTGTGGACCCTGCGGACCCTGTGGACCATGCGGTCCCTGTGGAACTACCTGTCCGTGCTGTGGCCCGCACAGCCCACCATGCGGAGCTCCCTCGCCCGTTCCATGCTCTCCGGCGCCGGGCTGTTGCTGTCCCCCATTGCCCGAGGGTGGCATACCCGATCCACGGGTCTGGAACTATTGGAACACCCCGGTATCCTATCCATGTGAGTTCTCGTCCGCCTTAGGCATGGACCTCTATCTGCATCCCGTATTCATCTATGCTTATCCTCCTCTTCCCACAGGTGGCTTCTAGGATCGGACTAGCTCTCACCCTGGTCTGGGAGTGGCTAGGAGAGAGCACACACTCTTCGATAAAACACTCCATCGCACGTCCTCGACCATTCCAAGCTTTAATCAAAACAAAAAAAGCAGTGTGATTCCAATGACACGGCGAAGTATTTTTTGGGCACATTTCTGGTGGTAACTAAATTGGAAACAAGTTGAATCCCAGTGGCACCACTCGTCAGAGGTCCGTCAAAGAAAGAAGAACGTCGACGGAGAGGAAAAGATGCCCCATTTGAGAGTCATTCCAGTTAGCAGCTTTCTTTCCTTTTGGCCGAAAGCTTTCCAATTTTGGCAGAATCCTTTTGTCGAGTGTGGCCACTTTTTTGGCAATAAATGCACCTTAGAATATTCATATTAGAGAGAGTGTTGTTTATATATTATATATTAAGTTTCCACTTACTTTAATTACTTCCTGTGATCGGGGGAATGTCCTTGATTTGATAGTCCTTGGGTCTCCTAATCGTTGGCGTCCTACAGGGACCTTCAGTCGGCATTTCTATAAGAGTATATACATTTATAACTAATCTGCATACAAATTGCGATTGAGAAATCGTTGATTGAATTAATTTTAAATTTCATTGTTTATTCAGTTGGTAATTTGCTTAATAAGTGTAAGTTATGCAAATATTGCTGGATTCTTTATCGTTTATCAAATTATCCAATTTGTAGCCATTTTCTTGTTGCCAATTTGATCGCACACGTTACTGGGCCTTCGTTTTTGAAAAGGAAAACGAATCGAACTTAGTTGTAGACATTAAGGACAAGTAAAGTATAGTACAATTTAATTACAATTACAACTAAATAACCATAAAAATAATATATTGTACGCCTAGGGAAACTTATGCTTAGGAGTCGAGTGCCCATTGCTCTTGTTTCGATTTCATTTGATCAGTTAAGGAAATTCGTGTCTAAATTGGTTTTAGCGTGAGTTACGTTTTGATTATAATATTGCACAATTTTTGTGTGTTGCCAAACAGTTGTTGTATAATACAGTTCCTGTCTACTCTCCAGAACAGAACAGGACTGAGCTGAACCGATCTGTTTTTTTTGTAGTTAGTTACCGACCGATGCTGATACGTTTAGATACGTTTGTGTTTGTGTTAGACGCTAAATCACTGGATTCTCTATGCACTTGTCAAGCTGAATTACAAAAGTTCATTGCCTAAATAATTTACATCAAAAAGCCGGGTAAACAATACTCAATACGCAGCCCTAAATAGACTAAGTTCTCTTCTCCGTTATTGGTTAGCTTAAATGCTAGGCCTAAATGTAAATCTGATATTCGACTGTTACGCTGTTACGCTTTACGCTATTACGCTCTACACAAAATTCGCCAATTACTAAAATTATGCATTTCATATTGTATATTCAGTATATATTTGTAATAACTATTGCTCAGTTAAGTGTGTTTGCGTGTCTTGCAAAAATGTGCCAGCTATGAATCGAGTTTCCACAATGCGTTCTCCTCCCTTAATCCCTCCTCGCTTTTCCTCTTCCCTCCTTACGCTCCTTCCGTTCCTTCCGCTCTTTGCCTATTTTTCTTTTTGCTCGCTCAACACGACGATATCACAACAAAATGTACCAAGTAGAAGAATTAGTTATCATTATCAGTTATCGCTATAGATAGATCAGCTAACACTAGTGCCGTGGACGCTTCACGTGAACGGCGGCGGCAGCACCATCGGATCGAAGGTCTGCTGGAGGCTGGAGAAGTTGCTGAAGCTGTCGATGCGTCGATAGCCCCACAGATCCATGGCTTCGACGCAAACATCCTGGATTTGCTTGATCTGTGCGAACGGAGGTGTAAATAATGATCGGAAAATGTATCCATGAAGTACTCACGTCGTCGGGCTTTAGATCCTGCATCCAATGGAATGGCGCTGATCTGGAATCACGATATGTGGAGCTGACGCCGCCAATGTTCACCTTGGTGTGCGTATCCAAGAACTCCTCCACAGCGGGATCGAACGGCAGGCCATAGAACTGCAGTATGTCCTGGGTCATTTCACTGGGATTCAACGACAGATCCTCATAGCGTAGGGTTCTATGGAAACAAAACCGATCCGGCATTAGTTGCTTAGTTCGGGGAAAACCCACAAATGGACTCACCTGAAACGCGAGGGATACTTCTCCAGCAGCAGCTCGGCTGTCTTGTAGTCGTCCTGCAGATCCTGGCACACCAGTCGCGCATCCTCGCAGTCCTCGTGGCCAGCGCACCACACGCGATGCCGTCGCGACTGCATCGTTCCGCGCGGATCCCTCACCAGCAGCACAATCCGCACATTGGACAGACTATTTGAAGAGGGAGAGAGATGATAGAATTAGTAATCATATGGTAGGGAGTATATATCTGTTTGCCGGGCGATGTATAATTGCTGGCGTAATAGTTGTGCATGGAGCCGTGAAGTTCACTTTGGCATAACAATAGTTGGAGTCGCAGTCGGAGTCGGAGTTGGAGTCGGAAATTGGCTTTCAATTAAATCGAATTAAAGCTTCTATAAAGGCCGCATAATTAGTATTTTAATGGAGCCCAGCACGAGCCGGGTTCCAGATGGGTTTCGAGCCAAATGTAATCTATCTTCGTATCCCGCCAACTGGAAACTGTTTCTAATTACAACACTCAAACGATGCTCCATCCTCTCCAGCCACTGGCACTGGCAAATGCATTTGCTGAATTATTTCATGAAAATGTTTTGCCCAAGCGGATACTACAGAACGCTGATAAAATGGCAGCAGCGGAAACGGCGAGGGTACGTGGTCGGTTGTTGTTGATTGTGGTTGTTGGAGCTGAAGCTGGAGCTGGAGCTGAAGCTGGAGCTGGGGGTCGCTAATGGGGTCGTACTGAGGACCCGAGGGTCGGCCGTAGAGCTGCCTAAAATAACCAACAGCTACAGTGGGGCCCACAAGTCAGCGATAGATAGCAGATTCCACATGCAGTTATCTCAACGGAAAGGGGCAATAAATTTTAATCATTTAGCCGGCTTTCTTCGGAATGTTTTCAGCCAAATGACTAGTTCCAGTCCAGTTCTAATCAAAAATTATAGTAAATATATAGGATGCGTCAAATAGTTACTATCTTTTGATTAAATTTGTTAAATTTCATTTCCACTTGAAATTTCATTAGCAGCGATTGTCTGGGGGGCACTCCAGGGCACTCCCCAAAAACCAACAGCCGCCATGCATATATTCAGATCATGAACTCCCCCCAGCACCCACCCAGAGAGAGAGGAGCATCATCAGCAGAGGCAGCCACAGCCGCAGGGCATGAAAACACTTTTCCCTTCCTTCCACCGAGGGGTTTTCCTCTGCACCCACTTAACCACAATGCTAATGAGTTTGTGGCGGATTGGAAACAATGTAAACATCTATAACTAGACAAGCACCGTAGAGTATATACCGCCAAGCATATGTACATACATATATCTGGCAGGCACATCTACAGATGGATATAGATACATATAATACGGAGCCACATCTACAGCTTACACAGAGTATTAGTATACGGAATATGTATCCGTATCCGTATCCGTATCCACATCCGCAACGAGCACCCGAATGTGATGTGATAAATGGAAACGTGCATTCCATTCCGCAGAGTTCATTCTCGAGCGAGGGCAAATGGGAAATGTGTAAAATGGAAACGAGGAAAATGGAAAACATTCGAATAAAGTTGTCCGTTCGCTTGTCGTTAAGCTGCACAAATATCGGAACAATAGATGAAACCTTGCGTTGCCCAGACCTGAAAAAAAAGATTGCCAGCTGCTGCTGATGCTCCAGCGATTACTTTGGAGGAAGGGCTGTGGCTGTACCCGACACTGTGTGGCAGGCAAAAAATAATAACCGTAACACTAACAAATAACAGGGGGCTTTACTGCCACTGCCACTGCCACTGCCACGGCCATAGAGTCCCAGTGCCAGTGCCAGTGCCAGTCAAAGCCATCGACTATGGCTTACTGGCAGGCAGCAACAGCTGCAGAAATTCCGAATACCAAAAAAGTTTCTTCCAAAGCCGCAAACAGAACAAAACCGAAAGGAAACCAAATTCCGCGAACTTTAATTTTTATAAAATGTTCCAGAACGAGAATTGGGGCAGATGGGGCACATGCCACACAAGAACCACAACCAATAAATAGTTGGGCTGTAATTTGGCATTTCTGCATGAACATTCCTTAAGTGAATAGTTTTGGGTTTCGGCAACTTTGTACAAATTACAAAAAAAATTAAATAAATAAAAAATTACTCCGTTACAAAAAAAATCATTTCTAAGCAATGCAATTTTTATTTAAATCAATAAATCAAATTAATAAGCAAAAAAATTAATAATAAAATAAAATACAAATAATTTTAAATTGTGCTAAATGTTTATAATAACAAAAAAAATATTGCAATGTTTTATAAAAAAAAAAATTGGATGAAAATGTTAAGTTTAATTATTTGATTTAAAATTTAAAAATATTTCAATGTTTTATAAAAAAATATGTAATAAAAATGTTGAGTTTGAGTATTTGATTTAATTAAATAAATTAATACACGAATTCCAAATTCAAGTACTGCAATAATAATAAGTTTAAACTCAAAGCGCTGTGATACACATAATAAAAAATACAAAAAAATAAATACAAATATATTTCACTAATTTGGAACACATTTTTCGAAACATTTTCATGCGCTCTAATTATGCTATAATTACAAATTCGATTTAAATACGTGGGGGACAGACAGTTTCGAATATTTCCCCCCTCCCGGCGAAAAACCAAGCCAACGAGCCACCAATCATTTATGACACATTGACGGAGGCTCCGTCTAAATATACGAATGTACAAATTCGTATAAATTGTGTATACATCTAATTCGAAATATATGCTAATCAGTTTTGAGCAAAACGCGAATTGGACACGAACCGAACTGACATTCGGCATTACATCACAAAGAAATTGAGTCGAAAATGTATTTCTTTATAATTGCATTTCAAGCTGAATAATTTACGACAAAGTGCACTTGACGATGGACCAGATGGTGTAACAGAAATAGCAATACGAAAATAAAATACAAACAATAATGGAATGGAAGCCCGTAAAACTCGGCCACAAGGCCAGGCCATGAATTTCACTTTCGATTTGGCCAAGTAACTCGAGATGTTTTCTTTTCATTTTGTGTTCGGTAATTATGCGAAAATAAAAGATCGACAGGCACTTGTGGGGGGGAGGGAGTTGGCTATAAATATTCACGAAAAGTTTTTGCATAAGGTCCCACGCGATGAAGAGTTCTTCAAGTGGATTGCGACAGAGAGTTGGTCCAGAAAAAGTTCATAAAAGTCTTTGTTGTACACGAAAGAAAGTCCATTACTTCAATGGCATCGTAGAAAGGCTTCCCCTAAATTTTGTACATTTTTTAATTGTTATTTATGTCGCGCCGCCGCCTCGTGGCATTTAATGAATGCAATTATTTTCATTTCATCTGTGGCCGATGTTTTCAATGAGCCTCCTTAACACTTGCTGGCCATAATTCAAGAGGGCTTTTAATTTAACTTTAATGGCCAATGGCCAATGGCTGATGGCTAATGGCTAAATGGCGCAGATATATCAAGAGCAGAGCTTGTTGAATGCATTTAACCCTGGACAAATATTGTGCTATAAAATACCGAAACCCTGATGCGATCTGAAGAGTGAGAGAGAATCTGTCAAGAGATACTAAGTGCAAACACAACCAACTCTTTGACCCGCTGACAGAGGCTTTTGCCACACACAAAAAGTATCCGTGTATCTACAATAGACGTGTGTATCTGTATCTGTATCTGTATCTCTGAGTCATATTCGTTTGTTTTTATTTGTATTCGAAATTCGTTTGGACTGCGGCAGTTTTGCGGCATTCTGACACAGTTTTCACAGATCAAAGGGAGAAAATTTGCACAAAAAATACGTAAAAATTGTTAGAGCGAAGCCCCAAATCAATGGAATAGCCACAGAAATGGGTTTCGTATAGGTATGTGGCCCAAATGATGGATAGATACGTTTACAGCTAGACGCTAGACGACGCGGCGTTACGGCTGCTCTCTTGTCGACTTTTGTCGACTCTTTCGGGGTCAAGCCAAATGCGAGAGCAGCGGCGAACCTCAACCTCAGAGACGATTAATCAATATAATGGCTACGGTCCGCTCTGAGTCCGGTCTGGTCCGGTCCGGTCCCCCTCTTTTGTGCTCTCTCGGGGGCCCAGCCATAACCGATTCGGTGATTCGCCTGACCCCCAAACCAATACGTATTTACATAACTCTCACATCCCGCCCCCCGTCCACCCGTAATAAAAAGTAAAAGTTGCTCACGTGTGCAGCTTGGAGGCCTTGAACCGAGCCGCGTTCGTGGACGGAGATGAACTTCTTGGCGCCCGAATCATTAGTCAATCCGCAGCACAGATTTCCTAGTGGTTTTGTATGTGGATCCGCCACAAAGTGTTCCCCAATGGCCCGGGGAACTGTGTGACCCATTAAGCGATTTACCCGAATCTCTTTCATAAACTTTTCTGCCTGTCTGTCTGTCTGTGCCACTTTTTTTGGCCTGGCCAAGTCCCATTACCCTTCCCATTCGAGTGCCTGCTGGCTTAGCGGTTGGATGGGGTTCTGTTGGCTGTCATGCGTGTGCAGATGTCTCCTCAATCTCCCATATTCATGCTAAGTACGGGGTAATTATTTTTAGGGGTCTCCGCGAGGCTTTGGGCCCGGACATAAGCCGATAATGTTGATTAATGGCGCCACGGAAAAGCCAACTGCTTGTGGATTGGAGAGTGGAAAGGAAAATCCGAAATGGCTTTCCACCCAGTGCCTAGGGTGAAGACTTTCTTTCTTTTTTGCGATCACACTAGCGCATTTTTCATGGCTATTTTTCGCGGCTTTCCCTGCGGGAAAACTATTCTTAATTATTTTCAATGGACTCCCGCGTACGCTACATGAATTTCACAAGTTTTTTCAATCAATTAGGCAATTTTTAAAAACTACATACATTCCTTTTCCTCTTCCCCAAGGGGCCGCCCGTTTTTTATATATAGAAAAGCGCAAAAAATATATATATATATTTTTCAAGAATTTTTTCATCACATTTTTTAACATCCAACGGCCGGGGGAGGGGACAAGAAGGGGAAACCCACTTTGAAAAGCGCTGGAAAAAATGTTACGCATACGCTCCGTTGGCCAAAGGCCTGTTATGCGCGAATGTGTGTGTGTGTGTGTGTGTGTGTGTGTGTGTGTGTGTGTGTGTGTGTGTGTGTGTGTACATATATTTATTTATATAAATATGCATAAT